TTAGGGAAGATTAATGATTGCATGCTTGGGATGTCTTCACTGAGGTGAAAAGAAAGGTTTGCATAAAACCCCCTGTGGTATTAGGACTTAACTGCAGTGTGGCCTCAGCAGCTGCTCAGTGAAAATCCAACTGTATGTGTGGACTTAAAATCTAATTTATTTATAGCAGTTTTTGTTTATGATGTGTAGGAACTACAGACAAATTCAGCTGTAAAAGGCAAAACCTTTTTCTCCCTGATGAGTTATAACGTTCTCATGAGCTCTTAAATCCTATTAAAACTTATTTACAGTCAAACCAAGTAGGTACCAGTGGTGTCAGAACTCGGGCAGGGAAGTGGCTCAGAGTTGTCCTGAAGAAGCTGAGTGGTTCTGTGGCTCTGAGCTGCAGGAGTGGGTCCCTGCACTTACCCTGACATCCTGTGGAGATCCTTTATCCACTCGGAGTCTCCATGTCCAGCCTCTGACTAAGGAGTCTCAGGGCTCTCGAGGTCGTGTTTGGGATGAGGAGCATTGTTTGACTGACACCATCTCTTGTTCCAGCCCTGCCCTGTGTCCCTGCTCCATGTTTGCCTTCAGCCAGGGCAGGTTCATCCCACAACCAAACGTGTCCCATCGGTGGCTTTAGTCTCAAATCTGGTAGAGGTCACTCCTTTTCCTTTCCTAAAGCCACTTCAGGATGTTGTCTCCTTGGTGCTTTGGCTTGTCAGGAAGGAATTAAGGTCCTAAAACTCCCGGAGAATTCTCGTTGGTAGAGGATGTGACCAGGAGCTGTGCCTGGGCCGTGCTGTGACCCGGGAGGGCTCTGCTGAGCTCTGCCCGTGGCTGCAGGAGCTCCCAGCCCTGGGCTGAGCTCCCTCCTGTGGGACAGGGGGCTGTGCCGACGGCTGGTGCTGTTTGGGGCTGGCAGGATGAGGCTGCAGCTGCCCTGGAGCTCCTCTGGCTCTGGGAGCTTCTCCTGCTGGGGCTCAGGACCCGCCCGGGAGCTGGGATGGCACAGAACCCCCTGATGGAGCTCTTGGAAGTGTCCCTGTTGGCACCTGGAGCCAGTCTGGAATGCTGTGCTGCCCTTATGTGTGTTCCCGTCTCTGCTGTTCCAGCTGGATGTGTCTGAGGAAGCTGGAGCCCCATGGGATGGTGCCAGAGGCAGGGAAAGGACTTGTCCCTCTGGGCCAGTGTGGGTCGATCTTGTAGTGGGGCTCCAGCACTGCCTGACTGCCCTGGGCAGAGCTGGAGGAGCAGAGTGCAATTCCCTACATTCTCTATCCTGTGGGGTTTTCCAGGAGCAGGGGGTGTAATTCCCTATGTTCTCCCTACTCTGGGGTTTTCCAGTGCCCTGCCAGGTGTCCCCTCTGGCCGTACCCCAGAGCAGTTTTCCATATGGTGTCAGTCCTGGCACGATGGAACCCTGGACACAGGGAATTAATTATTGGCATTTATAGGCACACAAAACACCCCCTGGCAGCTGCACAGGGGCTGTTTGGTGCTGGCAGTGACAGGGGAGACCTGGGAGTGGAAATCCTGTGGACATGCATCTTTTGCCTGAAGGTGAGTAAATGAATCCCCCCAGAGTCACCGGGTGCAGTGGGGAGGAGGGGTGGCACCTTGAGGGAAATTATTTTCACTGTTGATGAAGTTAAACCCTTAATATTTCCCTCCCATGTTTGGTCAGTGAGGGGTGAGGCCTGTTTTCCGTGCAGTTGGGAGGGAGTGAGGAAGGTGATGTCAGATTCCCCCCGGATGTTATGGAAGAGGGGGAGCACACCCGGATTTGAAGAGCTGACAGAAGGGGAGGGGGAAATGTCTTTGCAAGTCCCTCAGCTGCTCAAAGTAAACAAACCAGTAATTAATTTGGCCCCTAACAGTTGTTTGGTCACTGTTGTAGCAGAATAATTCCAACCAGGGAGTGTCTGTGTCTGCCTTGGTGTCCAGCTCTTTGGATGCTGCTTCACTCCCTGCTCTGGAGCCAGACCTTTGGTTTCAGGCTATTTCCTTTTTGCACACCGGTTTTGTTAAACTGTTCTGGAGGGTTTTGTTGAATTCCAGCTTGCCAGCACAGGGATGTTTTTGTGACTCTCCAAAGGAAGTTTTCCTGTCCATGTGCTGCAGTCTGGAATTCGCTCGAGGTGCTGCTTCTCGTGGTGCAAGATGCACATGGAAGTCAGTTCCCTTTTCCCAGCCCTCCATGTGGCAGAGGATGAAAAGGTGCCTCAAACAGGGTGCAAACTGTTGGCAAACGTCCCCTTGGGTGCTGTGGTGGGGCCGTGGCTCGGGCTGGAAGCAGGTGACACAGGGCAGGGATTGCTGTCACCACCCCTCACACAGATCCTCCCTGGTTTTACCTAGAGACCGTTGTCTCCCTGTTTTCCCAAGTTTCCTAAGAGAATTCCTGGCCAAACGCAGTTGCAGCTGGGGGGGTTGTCACCTCGTGCCGCTGGGCCCTGCGAGGGCCTCGGGGCTCCCTCCATCTAGAAATCAACTACAATTCCCACAGAAGCCTTGGCAGCGCTGGGAATGCTCTTGTCCCTCAATCTCAGGAACGTTTTGGGCAGTGACACAGGTGTCCCTGGGGGGTGGAAGGCTGGGTGTGCTCTGGGCTCTCGTCTGGCGCTCTCCTCGCTATCTATAGCATGAGTGGCCTTAGTGAGTTTGTTGAAGTGCACATTTTCTTTTTTTTTTTTTTTTTTTTTTTTTTTTTTTCTTTTTTTTTTTTTCTTTTCAGAAGTAAATTTTAAGATGAAGAAGATATATACTATATAAATATATAGAGCTATTTAGAAACTCGGTCTGTGGTGCACAAGTTCAGTGTTGGATCGCTCAATAATCGTCGCAGGTACCATACGTGTAACTTCTCTGTGTATCCCTCTCTGGGAAGCAATGTTGCCATGGTAACTACAACTTTACAATTTCTTTACTACTTAATGATGTGAATGAACTCTACATTTTATTGAATATTACCAGGTTCAGTACTATTTTTATACTTTATTGAACTACAGGGGATTTTAATTTAATAGCATTTAAAAAAAAAAAAGAAAGAAAAAAAAGGTGTTGCTTGAACTGTATAACTGTATAAATGGAAATACTCACACAAACCCACCTCTAAACCAGAATCTCTGCCTGTAGTGCCACTTTCATTTATATAAAAGTCTCTTGCTCATGACCAGACCTTGCAGACCACCCTCCCTGTGGTGTCAGGGTGGACTTTGGTGTCCCCCTGCCCCTGACTGCAGAGCCCGGCGTTGTCTGTGCCCATGGAACCATCCCCTGTTTGTAACCAGCATTGTGATATTCTGTAACTGTATTGCTCAACTGAAATATTGACCTAATAAATAGAGTGTTCCTGCAGCCTGAGGTATCTGCACTGACTTGGTTCAAACTTTGCTCCCAGCACGTTCCTGCCTCGGCAAAGAAAAGGTGTTGATTCCAGCCTTTGTGGGCAAATCCTTGTGGATGGGGGCTGTGGGATGAGCCTGGGGGGTACCTGTGAAGTGGGAGCCTGTGTTACCTGCAAGATGTGGATCCTTCCCAGCTCCTTCCCTGCATGTTGGTCTTTTAGTCCCCCTCTGAAGTAGCTGTGGAAATATGGAAGTTTTTCGTGCAAGTGAGCAGGGAAGTGTCTCGTGTGGCTGCCTGAGCACAGGGGGGGTTGAAAATGGGCTTTTCTAGGGGGGTTTATTTTCAAATCCTCAGGTTTGAGTTGTTTCAGTGACCCATAGTCCCTCATCCCACAGGGCTGAGATGGGCATTTATTTTCCCCAGGGAAATGGTGACACTTTGGAAGTGCTGAAGATGAGCTGCTGAGCACAGGCCAACACAGGAGACTGTAAAAAGTTCTGTTTCCTTCAGCTGGTACCAGGGAAGAATCAACAGCAGCAACCCCACAACTGCTGTGCCCAGGTGAAGGGGGAAGGGAGGTGGGAGGCTGTTGTGCTGATTTTGGGGGTTACACACCCAGTTCCTCCCGGGGATGACTTTCCTCCCCGTTGGTCTGAGCGAGGATCGGCTCCTCCTCCTGTGACAAACAGAACCACAGTCCCCAGAACCTGCCTGGGGCTGGCTGGGCTCTGGGTGCTTTGGGGTTTTCCAGACATCAGGAGAAATGCTCCCTTGGACTTCCTGAAGCTCCTCCTGGCTGGCACAGCTCTGGTGCATCCCTGGCAGGGCCAACTCCTGCCCCGGGGCTGCCTGGCCCAGGGTGACAGTGCCGGTGTCACTCCTGCAGGGCTTTGGGCAGAGCAAGTTCTGCTTATTCCTGACATCCTTTGTTTCTCCCTGAACAACATTTCTGCTTCCTGTGGCACAAAATGTGTGTCACTGCCCTGAACTGTCACCAGTGGCCTTTGTTTCCATCCCTTCAGGTTGTGGTTTGCAGAGGGAAATGGGATTTTGGGTGGTTTTTCCCTGTGGTTTGTTACTCATTGACACTTTATAAAATGCATTCAAATCTTAGTTTCCTTAAGAGCTAAAGCCAAGGTTGTGCAACAATTCCATGAATTCCCTGATGTTTCATGGAAAAGAGCCCAGGAAATGCCCATCCCAGTTGTCAGGTCTGCTCTGGTAGTGCTGCTGCCCACCAGCTTCCAAAATCCAACAGCAGGAAAATGCAATCCCTGTGAGGGGCACTGGTGCATCCATGGTTTATTCCAAAGGTTTTCTGATCATACTTGGAACAGGAACCTTTGAAGGTGAATCTTTCCTCTTTGCCCACATCACCTGGTCAGGAAACCGAGGTTATTTCTGGCAGAGTTCAGTTTTCCTGGAGAGCTTTCCTGTCACTTCTAAGTCACCTCATGTCCTACTGGAAAAATTGTAGGATAATCCAAGTCTTGAGCAGCCTTTAATCTTGCTCAGTTCTGTCTTAAACAAGTGTGACACTTTGAGGGCAGACAGGATTTTTCTGATGCAGCCACATGTGCTCCTACACTGGGTTTACCTTCAGCTACAAGAAATATTCTGCTCTCCTGAAGACAGAAGCTGAGCCCCATCCACCCATCCCAGCTTCAGCATGTGGGAGTGAAGGATCTTTTGGGGTTTTTTTAGGAGACTAAAAGACTTCTGTACCAAGCTGTTGATGTCTCCTTAAATCCTGGATTCCACCATCAGTCAGGTCTGTCCAACCCCAAAGCCCAGCCAGGATCTTTCAGAATCACAGAATCATTCAGGCTGGAAAAGACCTTTAGGATCATCAAGCCCAACCCTAACCCAGCAATGCCCAATCCCCTGAAGAGGGTTTTTGCCACAGCAAGGAAAGGATCAGCTGCTGCTTCCTCCAAACACTGCTCCTCCACTGGGGTTTACACAGAAGGAACAATGCACTGGAGGTAGGTCTGGGACTTCCACAGCCCCAATCCAGCCTCAGTGCTGGGGCACAACTGTTGGGAATCTCCAGGATAATAATAAATAAGGTCACGTGGTTTCAAGGAACAGAATTTCCATGTTGCTGGGCTCAAGCTTGTTGCTATGATGCTGCAAGTATTGCAGGGGTTTGTGGTTTTGGGAAACCATGGAGACAATCTTTATTCCCTGCTTTTTGTGCAGGTGGTGATGCTGTATTAACCAAGTTCTGTCTTTCTGTTGGTCTCCTGATGTTGTCTGGGAACCTCAGAAACAAAAACCCCCCAGGTGGAAGGCAGGAGTGACACTGGTGAGCCCAGTCTGTGCTCTGGGGCTTGGCTGGGTGGGTTCCACATTTGGTTCCATCCCCAAGTCCGTGTCCTCAGGAATCCCCGGGGACAGCAGCTGCTCTGTGGCCCACCCAGGCTCACAGGCAGGAGCAGCCCCAGGCCCTTGGGATGTTCCTGCCATTCCAAGTGCTCTGGTTTCCAGTGTTTCCCGTGCTCTGTGTCTCGGGTGCATTTCCTGGTGCAGGAATTGGCTGGGGGGGGTTCCCTGTTCCTCCAGGGAAGCAGCCAAGCAGAGGAGGATCATCCCTGGAGCCACAGCCAGCAGGGCACTGTGGGACTCCTCCTCAGCCTCTGTCTGGCAGCTCTGGGGGTTTGACTCTCAGTTTGCCAGTTTGGGTTTGAAGTGCTCCCTCAGAGTTGTCACAGCCCAGACTGGACTTTTTTAGGGGCAGAGAGAGAGAGACTGGGGAGAAAAGGGGATGAACATCAAGATGGCTCCAAGTGTGTGAGAGCTCCCACAGGATGTGTGATTGTACTTCAGCTGCTTGAAAAGAGGCTCGTGTGGGACAAACCCTCCTTCCCTGGGCAGGCTGTGGCACCTGTTTGTGGCAGAGCTGATCTGTCAGCAGTGGCTGTTACCATCCCTGCTGCATTCCCCCTTTGAGGTTCCCAGACCTGGCTGCCAAACACCCCTGCGACAGGTCTGGCTGCATTTTTGCAGTGGAACACACACGTGTGGCCTGGCTGGGGTGGGCCCAAAGGCAAACCACAGCTATGCTTTGACATCCACACTGCTCTGGGGAGACACCCTAATTACCACTGGCTGGGATGTCTCAGTCCCCACTCCCTCCTGCTCTTCTCCCTGCCCGACTGCTGCAGCCCCAGCACGGATCCCGTCCTCCCTGCTCATCCCTCTGCTCATCCCTCTGCTCCAGGGGAGCAGGGAAAGGCTGCTCCTGCTCGGTGACAATGTGACACTGGCTGGGCCAGGCCCTCACCTGTCCCTCCTTCACAGGGGTGGTGGAGGTGACTCTCTCTGTGTCCCTGCAGGTCACTGAGGAGGCAACAACTGATTTACAGCTGCTGCCGTGTCTGTCCTGTGAGTCCCGGAACCGAGCTGGGCTTTGCTGAAGGACAGCAAAATGGCTTAAAAAAAACCGAACAAAAGAACAAACCCCCACTTTTGGAGATATTTCTGTGAGCAAAGCACCCCAGGTTGATTCATGCCTGGGCAACAGCTCTTGCTCAACCGTGGGGCTGTTGGGAGGAAGCAGCAAAGGGCTGAGAGGTGAGTGGTGAAATCCTCACCCTGGGAGGTGTCTGTCCTTCCGTGCTGGCACCCAGCACCTAAACCTGTGTTTTCAAGCCAAAGCCCTTCCCGGCACCCTGAGGGGGCTGGAATTTCCCAGGCATTTGAGGTGGCCGAGGCTCGGGCGCGGGTTGCTGTGGGCGGGTGTCGCTGCCGCTGGATGTCACTGTCGCCGTGTGGCACTGGGAGCACGGCGGGGGCGGGTCCCTGAGCTCCGCGGGAGTGGTGGGAGCACCGCACAGCTGGATGGGGAGCGGAGTGGTGGAAGCACCGCACAGCTGGATGGGGAGCGGAGTGGTGGGAGCACCGCACAGCTGGATGGGGAGCGGAGTGGTGGGAGCACCGCACAGCTGGATGGGGAGCGGAGTGGTGGAGGCACCGCACAGCTGGATGGGGAGCGGATTGCTGTGCAGCCCTTGGGTAATCCCAGGGGAAAATAACGTTCCTTTCGCCAGTTGTTTGGCTGGGGTTTTTTTGGTGTTTTTTTTGTTTTGTTTTTTAAACAAACCTTTGCAGAGTCTCCGAGAGCCCAGAGCCTGATTTCTTCCCCAGAGCAAGTCGTGGATCTGATTTCTGCAGCCTTCAGGAGCCAGCAGATTGCAGGGGGAGAGGATGCCCCGTTCCAGCTCCAAGCTGACAAGTGCGTTCCATCCCCAAGTGGGTCTGGGGTTTGCACCAAGTCTGAAAACAAGGAGTTGGGACCAATGTTTAAATTCAGATGTGTGGAGCTCTTTAATTATTATTTTTATTAATTAAATTATGTGAATACTGATTTAAATTTTTAATTTTTTAAAAAACCCTAAAAGCCCAAGTATGGAGCAAAGGGGAGGGGGATCCCTAATTTTAGATGACTAGGGAGCAAGGCTAGGGCTGGCTGCCCTGTAGCCTCTCTCCTTAAGAAAACCCACCAAATCACCACGTTACCGCGCTGACATCCTCAATCACTGACCAATTCAATATCGACCCCGTGTTTTCGTGCTCGCTCAGCCCAATAACGAGGCGTTTCCCCAGGATCTGTTCCTGCAGTGCCGGTGCCCCGGGATCCGCAGCCTGTTGTTTGTGCTCGAGCAGGAGCCGCCTGCTCTTCCCTTCCCACAAAGGGCAAAGATGCTTCTTTTTCTCCCACTTGTCTTGCATAACAAAAGGCGTTTGTCACCCGTTACATAAGGGCGGGATTTGTCACTTCTGTGGCCTTTCTGGAGGCAGCTCGTCCCCAGCACATCCCGCTGCATCCCTGACTAATTCCTCTCACCCACCGCTTGGGCTTTGCCTTTTTTTCCACCCTTGGGAAAGGAAGATGTGGAGTTGTGTGGTTTGGTCGTGGTTGTTACGGAGAGCAAAAGGATGGGAAGGTGTTTTAGGGAGTTGTTTGCTCCGTAGTCCTTGTTTTGAGGGGGCTTGTCCTCAGCAGAGGTCGTGTCCCAAGCCTCTGGAAAGGGCTGTGCTGGAAATGGAGCTCCATTCCCCGGGTTTAAGGAGCAGGAGCACCTGTCACCACCTGCCTCCCTGAGCTGGCAGTTGCTTTTTTAATGCCTCTTCTGAATCTCGAGTGTCTCCCAACAGGAATTCGTGTTTGGGGTTTTCTCTTCACAGTAGGTTTGATTTCCTCCTCGGTGGAGAATCTTTTTGCAGCCTTAAAAGTAAATAAATGGGTTTGTTTCCCCACAAACTAAGAGCAAAAACTGTAGCTGGTCTCTCTAACTGCAGGAGAGAGCTCTGAACCTGCAGCCTCAAACTTATTTGTGGCCTTATCAGTGCCAGCTATCAAATGACCACAGCTCCCTTTTGACACGGAGCAGGCAGTGTCCCAGTGACCCAACAAGCCTGTCCCCGTTTTCTAATTTATTCAAAACAATTTCTTAGTTGACTTTTTTTTTTTTTTTTGTAGACCTGCTTCTAATTATTTTTTAATGAACTCCTGGAAGTGTGTATTTCTTGTGGACCTTTGAACTTCCTGGTGTGCCCAGCCTTTGCTCAGGAGATACCTTTATGGTTGGCTCTGAGTGTGCTTAAGTGTGTTTTAACCCTTTGGAGCTGAATTCCCAGGGAACTGTTGCAGTTTCCTTCCCTTCTGTAGGAGATGCTCAGGCACAGAAATGATTGTTGGCAAACACAGGCTTTCCCTGAACCAGTCGCTTTTCTCCTCTTCCCCCAAGCCTATAAAGGTGAAAGCTGCTCTTCCCTAAGCATGGAAAGGGTGATCCATGAGCTCAGGGGGCTGCACAGGAGCCCCTTCACTTGCCCAGGGGTGTTGCTGGTGGGCAGCACATTGAAACCCTCGTGCTGGGCAGGACCAGGTGCCACGTGGCCTCTGCTGGAATTATCTGTGTGACTTGTGATTCTCTGGCAGTTGGATCGAGCTGTGCAAGTCTGCTGTTGATATCCAACCTCCCTTCCAGTGCCTGGAAATGCAGGGCCAAAGTCTGTGTCCAGGAGCCCGTTGTGCTGGGAGTGTCACTGCTGTGGTGCCACCAGTGCTGGGTGAGAGGGGACAGAGCTCTGGGTAGGGGTGACCCTTCACCTCTGCCAGGGCTCAGTGTCTTCTCCTGCTGAAAGCTGCAGAATGAAGTGTCTTGTCCTGCTTTTTGGCTGCCTCTGCCAAACTCCTGGGTTTTATTTGTTCCCTCTCTCTTTCTCACCTGAGGTGCCACTGACTTTTTCTACTGTTCAGTCCCTCTCAATGTGTCCTGATGGAGGGTGTCTGTGCAGATGATCAGGGTCTTGCTTGGTGGAGCCCTCTCTGCCCAATACAACAGTTGTCTCCTCCCCTGAGCTGCCCAGGTCCTTCTCTGTGATCTACAAACGGCCAGATCCATGGGTCAGTCTCCAGCTCATGCAAACCTTTCACCCTCTCTTTAAAAAACCACCAGTGACAAACCCTGTCCTGAGGCTCAGGGGCAGTTTTGTTCCTGCCAAATCATTCCAGATTGGGTTTTCAGAGCTGCTTAATGAAGGTGTTCAATGCTCATTAAAAGTCCATAAGAATTAGGTGCCTACTTTAGGTCCCTTTTGGAAATGCTGCCTCTAATAAATTACAGGGTAAACAATGGCCACCCATTGCTAATGGCACCAATCAAACACGGGCTGGCAGCCACTGGTGAGGTGGAAATGTGTGGTTGTGGGTCACTGTAACCCCAGGGTGTTCTGTCTGCAGCTTTTATTGGTGGCAAAGGGGCTGTGGCTGACCTGTGACAAACCCAAACCCTCAGCCACTGAGTGTGCACCTCCCTGGGTTGGGGATGGGGATATTTTCTCCTGCAAAGGGGCAAGGGCTGCTCTCCCCTGTGTAGGTAACTCCTCCACTCCTCCTTTGGAAAGCAGCACTTACATAACTGACCTCAACACCAGCTTATGTTGCCTTTGAGAAGATGCTGAAGTGTGTAGGAAGAGAAGTCCTTCCCTCCCTGACATCTTGCTCCTCAGAGGGTTGCTTTGTTTGCAGCTGTGGGAGCTCGGGATCTCTGGGGCTCAGGGTCTGCACCTGCAGTGGGTGCAGCACCAGTCCCTGGGCATCAGTCAGGATTAGTGTGGCCTCTGAGGGTGCAAAGTGCAGCTCTGAGTCACAGCCCTGGCTGGGCTGGGTTGGCTGTCAGGGAGTGTGGGTGCAGCTCCTGGGGTGGGCAATCACAGTTTCCCTCCACAGCTTCTGTACCAGCAAGTCCAAGATGGGTCTTTCTCAGCTCTCCCCCTGCCCCTGCTGAGCCAGTGCTGTGGGGAAGCTCTGCCCTGAGCTGGGGATGGTCCCATTTGATGGGGAACAGGGACCTTGGGCTGCACCCTGGGTGTTTTCAGGGAGCTGCTTGGAGTTGAGACCTCAATCCCCATCCCAGTGCAATGGGAATTCAAGGTTGCCTCCTTCCCAGATGATGGTGAAAGCCAACAGCAGTGAGATCTCTCTCTCCTGGGTGACATCTCTTTTAAAGCTCTCCTTTTTGGAATGAACAAACTGCCCTTGCCAGCAGGAAGTCTGCAAAGGCTTGGAGTTAGAGGCATTTGTTTTGGAAATTCACTTCCAGGCGAAATGCTTTCCCAAAGGGAAACACGCTGGGCTGGTCGTGGCCTGCCCGGTCAGACAAGTGCCATTGTTGTGTCCCTGGACAATCAGTGTCACTGCTGCAGCTGGGACCCCACTGGGCTCCTGTGCCAGTCGCCTCTGGCACCCAGAGCCGTGCCCAGGGCTGCACAAAGGCCCCTCTCTCTGGGGGATCCCCGGGCTCTTGGCTGAGCTCTGGGTGGTTTTGGGGCCCAGAGCCCTGGGCAGGTGTCACCTTGGGAAGGACCCACTGCTGGGTCTGGAGACAGAGACAGGACCTTGTTTTCAGGCTGTCTGAGGGAAGTTTGGCCTTTACCCACGATTGAATTCCACAGTGACAAACATCTATGGAGACAGGCCCTCCCCTCAAGATGTCTGCAGCCTTTTCCCTCCTGTGTCTGCTTTCTTCCTCCCCTGTCTCAGATTCTGCTGCCAGCTCTGGGTGCAGGAGCCTCTCCCAGGCAGATGCAAAGGCAATTCCCTGCTCCCACTGTGCAGTTGGGTTTGCTTGGACCATCTGAGGTAGGTTTACAGCTCATTTAGCCCATGCTGGGATTTCCCAGAGTGTTGTTGCTGTACCCAGGGTGAGCTCTGCAGAGGGAAGCAGTGGGATGGCACAGCTGGCTGGAGCTGGGCTGCCTCAGCCTGGCTCTTGGGAGGACTCTTAGAGGTGGTTTGGCTGAAGGGGATGTTGAAAATGCAGCTGGTTTCCCAACACCAACCGCCCTCCTGCTGCTCCTCCTGCCTGCAATGGTGACATCCGTCCCCTCTGGGGCAGCTCCTCTCCTTTTCACCTCCAAAGATGTAATCCCAGAAGTTGCCATTTTATGTCCTCACCTCTCAAGTCAGGGGATGGAAGGGCAGCAGGTTCCTGGCTAATGGGAGCACAAGAGAAATGAAGCTTCTTCAGCACGAGCTTTCACCTGCATTAGCAGCCAGATTAGAGGCCACTCAGGAGCTGTGGGGACAGAAGCTGGTTGTTAGCACAGGCATAACCCATATTTGCATGGCCATATCTGTGTCCTTGTGAGATTACAGCTTCCACACAGCATGTGACTGCAGCATGGAATGGCTCTCTTGGCTTATCATGTGTACACTTTGCCTTTCAGAGGATTGAGAAGGCCTTGAGTTCCCCTTGAAAACCCAAGGCTTTGTTCCACCTCTCAGTGTCCGCGGCGCTCAGAGCTCAGCCAAAGCCAGGAATATACAAGTGGGAGGCACAGATGGACTTCTCTGGCCAGGCTTCCTCTGAGGCTCTCACTGGATTTAGAAGTTGTCCATCAGCCTGGTTCACTGCTGTGAGATCAGGCACGAGATGTGTCTTTGAGCCCTCCCAAGGTTGTGGCTGTCCCGCTTCCCCCTCTCCTCTGGAACACAACTCTGCTTCCTGCTTTGAAGCCTCTCCTGTTGGAAGGTGGCGTAACACCGACCACAGCCACGTAAATCCGTGGGATTATATTGCCTGCTGATGGCAGGAATCCTTTGAAAGGGTGTTCTGGTTGGATGGGGAAGAGTACAAACAGATTATGCATCTCCTGTTTCTCCCTGGGAAGGCAAGGAGCTCAGGTGCCAGTCAAACACACTGTACTGTAACAGTGCACTTCGGGGAAAACGCTTCCCTTTCCCCTGACAGCTCTCCTGTGAATATTAATTTCTGTATTTGAGTGTCCTCATCTTCCAGGAGCTGTGCAAGTGCAAACATTACCCAAGTCTTGCAGTGCAGAGCAGGCAGGGAGCCAGAGAGGAAGCAGTTGGGAAGATGCTCTGGGTGTGCTGCTGTTTGTAATTTGCTGCTCTGGGCAGATTTAGCACCATTACCACGTGGGATGGGATGGATCTGGGTGCTTATGGTACGTGCAGGCAGCTGATGTGGTATTTATTTACTGAGAGATCACAGGAAGGAGAGCTGATAAAGGCAGATAAATATGCAGCTATTTTGCATTACACTTAAACCACCTGCCTGTCCATGTGGTTTAGTTAAACACAAACTCCAACCATCAGTGCCAGATGTCTTGCAATGTGATGCCAAAGAGGAATTGTAACGAGGAATGTTTTCCAGTAACCTGTTCTTACCAGGAGGGTGGTGAATGCTCCATTTGATGGAATGATCAGTGATACTCAGCAGCTGCTTGGACTGTAGGGGTGGAGGCTTTGCTAATTCCACCTGGAAATTCCTTTCCTGTTGCTTGGGGGTGACGAAAACTTTCACAGCCAACCAAAGACCCGTCTTCTCCCTGCAGATAAATACAGCTCAAGTTAATAACTTGTCTGAGGGGAAGAGATGTGAAGGGGAATTTGGGCCAGCTGTTGTTTCTATGTGGCATTGTCAGAGGCATCTCAACATGCCACAGGAGCTGCTTTTTGGTAAGTGTTGTCCTTGGCTTCTCAGCCAGCTCTTCATGAGCTTATTGATGGTGTTTGCTCATGTCAAAAAACTTTTTTAAGCTGCTTGAAGTCCTCAGGAACTGAAAGAGCATTATCAGCTTCCTCCACACTTTGCAACGTGCACCCTGTGAGAAACAAGATAGTTAAAGGCTTTTCTTCTTATTGTGCTTCATAAGTTTTTATGCAAATTGAAATAGGCATTATTAATGAGATGTTAATAAGCCCATCCCTTTGGTGCCACTGGTATAACAAGTTGGCTGTCTCTTCATAGTGAAAATTATTTGACTTCTATTAGCTTTTTGGATCCCATAATATGAGCTCCCTGGGTGATATCTGCCTTGCTCACTTCCCCTCCCTAACAAGGTTGCCCCCCAGCCCAGCAGTGAGTCAGAGAGGACTGGAAAAGGAGGAGACTGGTTCCCATCTGCCAGGGAACAGGACAGGGGATGGCAGGGGATCAGGGAGATGTGCACAGAGCTGGCTAAGTCAAACTGGAGCCCACACAGGGAGCAACAAAAAGAAATGAGGGAGAGACGATGCAAAAATAAGAGAAGCTGTAGAAGAACAAAGGGATTTTCCTCTCTCTGCAATACAGAGAAACCAAATGTCAGGCCACCAGAAGGGGTTGTCCTGTTATCTGTTCCCAGTCTTGAAGCTCTTCTCTGAAGGACTCACTGGGGAAACACCTTTTCCATGTTGGTATCTGTGCGTGGGAAGAGGATGGGAAGTAACAACTGGTCAGAGCAAGTGGGCCCCAGAGCCAGGAGACCCCCCTGCCTCAGGTGTCTCCCCTCCTGCAGTCAGGGCACCCTGGGTTTCAGAGCCTCCCTTCCTGGCAGAGCCTCTCAAGCTGTCCCTCTCTCCCTGTTCCTTTGGCACATTTTGTCACCTGCCCCCAGTGATCTTGTTCCTGGCACAGGAGTGTCAGACTGGGAGAATTGCCAGGGCAGTGGTGCCACCAGGCTGGGGTGAGGCTTCTGGGCACGTGGTGAGTGCTGGGGTGGCACGAGGTGGTGAGTTCAGGCTGCTGGCACTGGCCAGGCCCTGTCCCTCCGTTGTCACCGGTGCCCTTTGCGTGCCCATCCTGCCTCCCTCCTGCTCTGGCCCTGGGCCTGACCCCTGGGCACCAAGGACTGGAGAGCTTGGAAACTTCCACTGAACACTTCAGTCCATGGATTTTCCAGAGGAAGTTCAGGTTTTGGTTTTGGTTTTCTTTTGGTTTTGGTTTTATTAAAAGGAAAAAGCAAGGAATTTCCCCTCCAGCCTGCAGAAGGTCACTGCCAGGAGAAGTGGCTTCAGTTCTCTTTCTTAAAGCCTTCAACACCCTGTTATGCCTCAAATAATGAGACCAAAAAGGCCAATCTTCTTTAGGGGATGGTTTCAGTCTCTTGCATGATGGTGCAGGAGGGAGGCTGGAGTGAGACACAGGCTCTGCTGAGATTGGCAGAGGGGGAAAAAAAGCAGTGTGTGCCATTTAATTTCTGTGATGTTCTGATTCCCTCCCACCAGCCTGGAAATGCTGAATGTGATCCTTTGTCTGGCATATGGGGATTTGGAGAACTGTTGCTAATTACAGCACTTGTGCCATCTCCCTTAAATGGCTTAAATAATATATTAAGTGCTTTTATGATCTCCCCCAACACGCTGGAATGCAAAGAAGTGCATTTTATGCTGTTTATAGTTTATGGCTGGAGTAACTTATATAACATTAATCTGCAGCAAAAAAAAATGGGTTTTGATGATTTATTGTTTGGGCAATTCCCAGCTGGGGCTCTGGATGCTCAGCTCCCCTGGTGCTGGGTGTTCTCCAGAGGCAGGGCATGCAGTTCCATCTTGGAAGGTGGGATCTAATCCAAGGGGAGGAGGCTGTGGGTGGCTGCAGGGAATGGTGGATGCCAGGGAAGGGTCGTGGGATGCCACAGAGTTCAGGTAAGTCTGATGGCAAAGGGACAGAGTGTGGGATCTGGGAGAGGATCATGGGAAGTCACATCGTAACTTATTTAGGGAGTATTCCCGTTATTTTAATTAAGCTTTAATTGGAAATTAGGAGCAGGTTACTAAGCATCATATCTAGAAGTGGGAGTATTCCATGGTCTAGACTAGTGCTTATCCAAAAAAAGAAAGGATCTTTTTTTCACCCCTTTTGTGTGTTTTTTTTCTAGAAAAAAATTCTTCTAGTTGTCTGTTCCCACCCAGATTCCCGTGTCTCCTGCCTCGGAATCTCCACTTTCTATTCCTGTTATTGTAGCTAATGTTTAAAGAAAATGTGAGAAGAGTGTGCTGTGAATGCCTTGTTGCTGTATCTGGTGTGAGGAATAATTATGGAGCAGCTGAGCAGTGCCAGCCAGGGGCTCCAACAACCTGGGAAGACACATGTTGGGAGGGCACACAAACCACAAAGGGAATTCGTGAGAACGATGAAAAGATTGGCATGTTCTGACCTATAATTTGGTTTGGTTTGACACAGCTCTCTGGAAAATCACAAGTTTTGTTAGAATATACTGGTAATTAGCAATATTTCAGCTCTTTGAAATTAAAGCATTGTGCAGGCTCTGCAGAGCAGGGGGGGGAAAAAGTGTCTTTGTCTGGTTTTGTTTGCTAGGAGCTTGAAAATAGGGAGGTGAGAAACTCGTGTCAAACCTTGAAGTATAATTTGGCAATTAAAAGACTGAGGAGAAAAGTGTGATCTGAAGACCTTCAGTTTTCTTGCTGTGACATAAAATTAACAGCTATCTTCATTCTCATTCTGGTTTAATATTCCTGCAGAGAAGGAAGCAAAAAGAACTCCCCAGGCTGGCTACAGTGGGATGGAGGAGCTGTTCCTTTGACAATGACAGGGTACAGGCTGGGAGGGGAGGGATTTGGGTTGGCATTAGCCTGGCAAACGTCTGCACAACGCTCTGGATGCTCTGAAGTGATATATTTCTAATGCTAAAAACAGAGAGATGCTCTCTGGGAGATGTTTAGAGGCATCTCCAGAAGATTTCAAGGTCGTCCATGCAGCAGCTTGCAGGGATGCACAGCTGGCACCTCATCACTAAAGCCAGCAGAATCTCAACTCCAAGGCTGTTAGCAAACTGTGTGGGTAAAAATAGAAGGGTAAATTGAAACTACCTGAGAGTGGAAGAAACAGCTGGGAAGTGATAAGAGGCAGCAAAATGAGTGGAGAAACTTTTGCCCATCATCGTGGTGTCCAAGTGTTTTATAAGAACTTCAAATTGCTCCTTCCTTGAATGTACCAATTTTCTTTTTCAAACTGTGACAATTTGGCAACCTCCACTGACTCTGAACTTGTCTTCTGTTGCAAAGAATCTGCTCAAGAGTCTACTCCATATCCCAGGCCTAATTTTTATTACAGTAGCTGAAAAGAGCTGCTAGGCCAAAAGCTCTTCTAGGAGTAGCTGGACTTCTACCCAAAGGCTTTTATGGATCATTTATCAGTATGTTTTACAAAATAAATACCCATGCAAATACTTAATATAGTAGGCAAAAATTTTGATTAACCTCTAATGCTTTACCTTGCTGCACAGGCACAATGAATCCACAAAAGGGGGAAGGCAAAATGCTGTTGGAGCTACTGGTCCAGGAACGACACAGGTTTTGTTTTGGGAGCCCACTGGAACACTTCAACAGCCCCTGCACGTTCAGCTGAAATGACAGGGACACAACCTGCTCATCTGTGTCCTGTTGTGACTCACTGCTGCATTCAGGCAGTGGGGTGGGATGTGGTGGCTGGAGCAGATGGCAAGAGGTTGGGCTATTTTTGTTGCCTTCTTGGCTTGATCAAGCAATTCTTCCCTGACTGATTACAGGCATGATGGTATCTTAGATAATGCCCCTTGAAAAAGGCCTTTTAAATCCTTAATTACTGTCATTAGCCATTTGACACCATAAAATAGAGCTGTGTTGTTTCAATGTCTTTCTGTTTTACCCCTGTCTGGGGGGTGTCTGGAGTGTGCACAACAAAACCAGGGAGCTGAAGCCTTTGGATCCCAATCAGAGGTGTGTGCCAGCACAACAATGTGTGTGTGCACACAGCTGGATTTGCCACTGTCCAGGGCTCTTTCACTCTCTGTGTTGGGAGAGCACTGAACTGAGACATCAGCCTGTTGGCAGGGCCAGGAGGGCTGGCAGGTTCCTCTGTTTGGGGATGTCCTTTGTTGGGTGTTTGAATTGGGTGGAACCTTAATTAGCAAATAAGAAGCTTTGGCCTTCCCTTCCAAGCTCTGAGGCAGAATTAAGGGAAGCACAAGGATGTGCCAAACAACAGGGCAGCACTGGCTCCGTGGCTTTTGTTTTACTCGGCTGCCCTGCTGCTTTGAGATGCACTTCCCAGTGTAATCAGCTGCTGGCAAAGCGCTCCCGAGCTTGTTCCATGTTTGATGCTCTGGTGTTGCTCTCTGTGTACACAACAGCCAGAGTGCTGCAGTGCTGGGGACCCCGTGTGCAGCAGCTGGGGAGCTCAGAGGAAAAGCAGCCCTGCCTTTGAAAGGGGAGCTGCCCCGTGGAGCCGCGGGGCCGGGGCCCTGCCTGCTGTGCGCCCGGGCCACGAGAGCTCCTCTGTCCACAGTGCAATCCGGGCTCTGCTGGAACACACTCAGCATTAGTCACTCCTTGCAAAGCCACTCCTTTCATTTGATCCTCTGTTATTAATTATTTGCACTTCCTCTTGTCACAACACATTTTCTTTTTGCTGCCCGGGATGGAACTTGCAGAGCAATCCTTTACTTCCATTCCAACGACACAGCGGTTTCTGTCTCCGGGAGAGCACGGGATTGCTTTTATCAAACATATTTCTTTCCCCATTGTTTCCTGATGACAGATACTACTCTTAATCTACACAGAGACAACACTTTGAAATGGGAGATCCATGTTCCCGTCAACTGTTGTTACGTTGATAAATCATAGCGTGTCTCACTCGGTGACTGACACACGTCTGGCTTGCAGTCTGCCTCTTTTTTGTTGCAGTTTCTCAGTGCTAACAACAGCCTTGCCAGAGCTCGTCTGCTCCCTTCCCTCGGTGTGCAGCCCAGCAGGATGATTAATTCTGTCACACGTTCCCTGGGTATGGCACAATCAAACAGGTTGACAGAAAATCGGGAAGGCCGTGGTGTTTGTGGGAATATCTGACGCGTTACGCTCACCTCGTGACTGTCGTGAGCTGTGCCCCCTCGGTGCTTCTGGGTTGGAGGAACATCAGCAAAGTCTGCAAAGGAGAAAAAAAAGGGATTTTTTTCCTGTTCTCTGTGGGCCTCGAGTGTGATTGTGCCACCCTTCCACGCACAGGGAAGCTCTGCTCAAGAGAACAGCGAGAGTGGAGGGAGCCTTATGGTGTTTTTTCTGTGTCTTTCAAAGGCAACTGCAGGAAAAGTGGGGGATCACTTACCCACAAACCCTAGAATAGCTCTGGGTGTGACGTGCCCCCCTTCCCTGGGCTGTGTGGATACCACTGTTAATAAGAGGAGCTGAAGTTATGGGTTGAGCAGTAATGTGAGCAGCACTTCTGGGTGGCTTCAAACCTGGCACGGGCTCCCTGAGCAGAAACAACCAGGGGGAAGTGGCTCAGCAAAAATAGTAATTAATTCTGTTATAAAGGGGGGGGGGCAGAACTAAACAGAGGGAGCCCACAGCTCAAGTGAAGCCTGTGGGATGCTCCCACTTCCCCTGCTGTCCTTTCCTGGGCACTGCTGTGCCCCTGCCCGTCTCTGCCACACCCTGAGCTGCAGGTCTGTGTGGCACTGGGGGTGTGCAGAGCAGGGCTGTCCCTCCTGCCTGTCACCCCCACGCCGTGCTGGCACTGCAGCTCAGCCCTTGGGACACGGGGATGGGCTGGTCCCTCCTGCCTCCCCGCCCTGCCTGGAACTCAGCAGGAAAAACCAGGGGCTGAGGTGCCAGGAAGGAGCAGGGGAGGGTGCCAGGCAAAGGCAGCTGTGCCAGGGTGGGTGGGGATGGGCAGCTGCTCAGGTCAGGGGAGTGCAGGGGATCTCTAGGGCAGGGGGGGAAGGAGAAGTGTCCTCGTGCTGAAAACGTGGGAAAAAAATCCCAACCCTCTCCCTCCCTGGCTACACCCCCCTGCAGCCCTGCCTGCCTGGAAGCACAGCCCCTCAGCCAGGGGGGTGATTGCTGTGCTTGCAGAAATGCAGTTGGACTGTTTGTGGCTAAAAAAAATAAACACAAATTTTGATAAAAATAGGGTGGGGCTTCCTGAGAAAGAAGAAGACTTCATTTTCTTATCTGCTATTAAAACTGGATCCTAGAATTATTACCTTTCTCTTTTTAAATTTTCTCTCTTTTGAAATGTTTATTAAAATTCAATGTAACTTAATTAAAAAAAAATTAAATTAAATTTTTAATTTTCCCCCACAGTATTTCACCCCATGTTGGCAATAGTGTGGGAGTACAGCTTATATGACAACAATAGGAGTGTCCTGGTAAGAATCTGTTCCCTTTTTTATTCCCCTCTAGTTTATATAAATCTCTAACAAACGTCACCCTCTGCTACTACTCTAAACCACTTGTTTCATGGAAAATGTGGCAGCAGTTTCAATTTGCAAGTGTAGTTTTGCTGCTCTTTGGGGAAGCCTTTTGTGTTTCCCCTCTGCCTCTGAAAAATCAGAATCAGGTTGGCAGACAATGATTTGGGGTATTTTTCTCCTCCATCAGTTCACTGTAATTAGAGAGATGTGAAACCATCTAGCTCTGAACACTGCAGGCCTGCAGTACTGAATGCTCTTACTGCACCTGGAGATCTCTGCCACCTTCTGCTCTTCCCAAATATTTGGGATGTGCTCTGCTGCACTTGTGTCAGGGCTGTCTGTGAAGCAGGAAGGGGTAAAAGTTGTCCCATGTTTGTGCAGTTCCAAGCAGTCCTTATGAAATGAATGATGTCCCGGGGTGGGGAGGCAGATACTGGGGAGAGGGAGGCACAGATTTAGAGCCCAACGACAGAGCAGGGCCTCAAAGTTGCGTTTTTTGGCTTCTGTTTTCCGTAGATTGGAATCAGGAAATCCTCGACCCTACACTGCTCTTCTCAGAAGGGTTTTTGAGTCCCTGCAGCAGTTCCACAATTCCTTGGCTCACCTCTTCTGAGCTCAGGCCTCTTTGCTGTGACCCCAAACACCCTCTCCTCGGCAGGTGCCCTTTTCCCTGTCCCTGGTGGCCCTGTGGACTGCAGCCCCCTCCCGGTGACAGCTGCCGTGCCGAGGAGGCTCCTGCAGCTCCTGGGCTGCAGTAAATACCTGCTTTGCCACAGGCACCTGACAGTGATGCAAAGACACTTCAAGATATTTGCTAAGTGCTCAGGAATTAATTTGTGATTAGTGAATAATTACCTAAACCCCAGCAATCCAAAGGGCGGGTGGGCAGCGTGATTTGCATGTACAGCACTTCTCTGTCACCAGAGGAGCCCCATTCATCTAATACAAGTCTAAACTCGCTGCATCTTAATTTGATTTACCTTTGACATGGCATTTAAATAGTAGCAACATCTACAACCTTGTGCTCCCCAATAAGGCTTCATTAAAAAGTTAGTGCCAGATCCAATCCTTGGTTAGCACAGGCAGCCTTATCTCAGGGTTCCTGCTCCAGTGCCTTGGAGAACATGCTTAATTTAATCTGAACAAAGGCACTGCCACCGGGAGCCTCCAGCCCGACTTTCCACTCCAGAATATCTTTGTTATTAAATTTGGTGCATACAATGGGTCCAGTAAATTATTTTAAAGTGCCCTTCAAACAGAATTCTGATGGTTGTTAGACATGGTTTGTATCTCTGGGACGTGAGAGGTGTCCCTTTGGTTGGGCTCTTTTAGAATGTCATACAAAAATGCAAGGTGAGTCTTGGAAACTGGGAAAAGCAGCAAGTTTTAAGGAAACACGTATTTTTTAAGCATTCTGGAAAGAGTTTTTTTATTTTTTAATATGAAATGCTAACCATTATTATGAACCATCAATCCCTTTTCTTTCCTCTAGAGGAAGGAACTCCTCACTAGAGGTTTCTGCTTCCTCATTGGTACCAAGTCAGCTCCTTGTGACTTTAGGCTGGTGGCAGGATCTGATTTGTAATTATAATTTTAACCATTCATTTTTGTCATGATTTAGCAAGGGAACCAGTTGTCAATAAACCCTCAATACTGCCTAGTAATCTCTGCTGCCTGAGAATAAGGTTTGTTCATGCTACAAATAGGGGTACTGTCATTCTCTCAAATATTTTAAAGACTTTATCTAAATTGAAAGCTATTTGTTGAAGGACAGTATCAAGAAGAGATGTGTAAAGGTAACATGGAAATAAGAGGAC